GGCACATAACAACAACAAGATAAACTCCCTATTAATACTGGCTTATAAGATTATTTGACTTTGTGTCCTATGAAAGAATGAAAACATATTACAGGAAGTTTGGATCAGCCAAGAAAATTGGAAGGTTAAAAAAAAAAAAAGATGGTGGCTTAGGCTTTCCAGGGAAGCTATCTGGAAGGAGATATATGAATAGCTCTGCCATGAACAGTCAGGCTTGGTTTATAATGTTGAGATGCTGCCTATCATTGGCATTAGTAAAGTTATAAGGAGGCAGAAAGGCAGGAAGAGAATTTGGGAAACACTGATCAATCCAATATGGCAGAGATGAAGCACAAGGTCCATTCTCTTTCACATAATACAGAAATTGTCTACTTTTCTGATATACCAATGTTGAAAACATACATATCCAATCTGTCCCCAGAGTCTGTACCTTAAGTGATATCCAAGACCCCATCGTCTCTTCAAAAAGAGAGAAGAGCCTGCACACTTCAGTCTCCCATTGGACATGATCACTTTTCTGTCTGAAGAAAGAGAATCAAGTGAGAAGAATATTAGGGATCTTTTCATTCCTCTATAGAACATCTAGATGAGGAGCCCAAGCTTAGATTTCCAGAGTGTTCTATGGGTATATCTAATGTGCATCTTACAATTAAAAACACACATTAAAATTGATATCTCTGTGAAAGCTCATGATCTCTAGTCTATTTCTATGCCTCCAATACTTCCTTTAAAAAGTACCAATCATATGGTTATATTTTCTACTCTGGTTGCTAATGAACAAGTGGATATTTTTCAACCAAATATATATTAGAAAATATTTGGATGTTTAAGCTCATCAACAGTTGATCTGAAAATAAATGACATTTTTTCATTAGTGTCTGTCACTAGACAAATGAATAGCCAGTGAGGAACCCCACTGTGAGACTACACTCCTGGAATCCACCAGACTGCTATAGAATGGACAATGAGGGTGGGGTCTCCTGCCCTGGGAATGAATATCACTTTTAAGTTTCCCAAATTCTTCCTTGTAACTGAAACAAAACCAGCAATTACCAGCCAGGATGTCAGCCTCATCTGTGAAACTGGTACTCAAGAGGATGACATGGTCTGATTTTCGCTCCTTCAGGAAGTTCCACACTCGGTGCCTTGAAAAGGGATCCAATCGTGCAGTCGGTTCATCTAATAGCAAAACCTACAGAGGATAAAGATATATAATACATGCCCGTCTTACATGTGACTTTTTCCACATGACTTCTTGGAAAACAATAATGACCAAAATATTGACTATCCAACCATTTACTCTCAATATACTTAAACTAACCAAAACCAAACTCATTGCCATTGAGTCGACTCTGACTCATAGTGACCTCCATTGGGTCTCTGGGGCTATAAAATTGTTAATGGAAGCAGATTGCCCCATCTTTCTTTTGCGGAGTGACTAGTAGATTTGAACACAGCCAAGTGCCTTAGCCTCTACACCACCAGAGCACCTTCTCAATATACTTATTCATAGTTAAGTATGTATGTTACTCTGCTACCTAATAAGCCTTACAATGTTTGATGAAAAACAAACAAAAACATCGTCTCTTATGCAGTCAATTGTAAAACTTAAAATAAGGGGAATATGAACCTCATTCAATTACAGTGCATGTTACCTTTAAAGAATTTCTCTTTGCTTCCCTTTTGTTGGAGCAGACAATGAAAGCCCTAATCCTTTCAGTGGTAAAGGAAGAGTTTGACTTTTGCTGATCCGAAGATTACCTTCTCCTTGACTCATAATCTCACTCACCTGAGGGTCCCCTAAAATCGCAATCCCAAAGGTCAGCTTTCTTTTCTGTCCTTCGCTGAGATTTTTAGCAAGGTGATCCTGAATGTTTTGCAAGTCCAATTCCAATAAAACTCTTTGTACCTATACAAAAAAATACATGAAGCTTAAAATTCAAAATGGTTTATGTTGTGTCATTTTCACTGTCCATGAAAACAATAGCTATATTTGTCTAGCAGCTCTTTGCCTAAATGTAATTCATAGCATGGCAAGTAAGTAACTGAAGGGAATTCTGTGGTCATGATTTAACTTGGTAAATGGTTGGCAGTTCAGTTTAATCCAGGCATGGCCGTCTACCTCTTGCTCCACCTCCTGGGGCTGAATCCCTTTTATTTTAGCAAACAGCCTGAGATTTTCCTTCACAGTCAGTATGTCAAATTGAACATTGAATTGAGGACAAACTCCAGCGATCCTTCGGACTTCCTCCAGGTCTTGCATTTCAGAGAGGTTTCTATTGTAGATGGTAACTGATCCTGAGAACAGAAGTTAAAAACAATTGAACATTCCCAAGACGTTATGTTTAATTCTTAGAAATTTTATTCCAGAATATATTATCATATATTTACAAATATTTAAAATATTGACTTCATAATTTATTGACAACTAATAAATATTAGGAGCCCTATTGGCACAGTAGGGAGCTCTGGTGGTGTAGTGCCTAAGGTATTTGACTGCTAACCAGAAGGCTGGCGGTTCAAACCCACCAGCCACTCCTTGGAAGGAAGGCTGTGCAATCTACTGCCATAGAGATACTGCCTCAGAAACCCAAGGATGGGTCGCTGTGAGTCAGATTGACTCAATGGCAGTGAGTTTTTTTTTTTTTTTTTTTGGGGGGGGGTTATTGGCACAGTGGTGAAAGCATTCTGCTGTTAACTAAAAGGTGGATGGTTTGAACCCACTAGCTGCTCCACGGGTGAAAAATATGGCAGTCTGGTTCTACTTTGTCCTATAGGGTTGCTATGAGTAGGAATCAACTGTATGGCAGTGGGTTTTATAACAAATGCTAGTGCTCGGAGTAGTGCACATTTTTTCCTAGTATATCACACAACAGTGTAATAAAGATAAAAGTGATTTTCATACAAATTTGGGAAATATACCAAATCATGTAATTGTAGGAAACCAACTTTAGACAAACATTGTCTTTTAAGCAATCAAACTTAATCAAACTTAAAATGAACAGTAGACATTTACCTCATTCTATTACCAGAGAGCTCGCCTTTAAGACATTTCTTTTTGCTCACCTTCTGTTGGAACAGACAATCCATTAAGAATGTTTAGCAGTGAAGATTTGCCAGCTCCACTGTGACCCAGAATTGCTGTGATTTGACCTTCATATACATCAAAGAATAAGCCTGCATTTAAAATAAAATATTAACATTATAAATAGGAGGACATTAGACAAGGATTGGTCCAAAAAATGGAACAAGAAAATAGATTTTAGTTGTGTATGCCTACTTCTCATTTATCGACTGTTTAATTATCTGACTTTTCACATTTATAACACTAATAACAAATCTACTATCCAACTATTTAGCACATGAAGGACGCACGTCTGGCAATAATGAATGCCAATGTGCGAGGCGAGAGTAATGCTGGTTGTGATAGTTGAAACTATGTGTCAGCTTGGCTGGGCCATGATTCTCAGTTGCTTGGCAGTTATGTAATGATGTAATTTGGCAGTTATGTAATGATATACTCATCCTCCATTTGTGATCTGATGTGGTCATCTGCAATTTTCACATAATGACCTGGTCATTGGCACCTAACCATGTTGATAAGTGAGGAGTGGGTGTATTTCACATGCATTTGAATACTTAATATATGTAATATTCAATATTTTCCCTAATTGCCAAAAGAGCATGCTTGTTGTAGAATATTTGAAAAGTAAATACGATAACTTTAGAAGATAAAGTTAACCATAATTCCAAATATTAACAATGTAATGTACTTACTTCTAATGTGTTCTCTGTGTTTATGAATATGCAAGTAGATATAATTACAAAATTTGATTGTAATTATTTTCTAACCTGACTTTTCAAATATTAAAACATAAGCATTCTGCATGGCATTTATTATCTTCTAAAATATATTCACCAACCATTTATATTTCCTTCTTTATCCTTTTTCTATTCTTTGTTAAAACATTTTTCATTTACATGTGAATAGAAATTATTTAGCTAAGAACCCTTTGAAGTATTATTTTTCTGTTTACTTGCTTTACTACAAAATAAAAACCAAACTTTATTATAGAAAGCTGTTGGACAGAGTAAGATGAACTTCTTAAGAAGCATATGATACATTACATATGAGTGATAGGGGCCTTTCAATTACCTTACACCTACTCCCCAGTTACCAACTATCCCCTTTTCCAGCATTTCTCATTTAAAACAAATCTACTTAAATCACCTTACAGCCAGGTAAGGACCAAAGTGTTTTGAGTGAGAGAGTTCCTCCCTCCTGAGCCCAAAGTCTTTGATCCATCCCATCCCTCTCCTCTCCCCAGTCTTAGATGTGAAGAAAGTTAGGAGAGAGAGAAAGAAAGAAAAAAACCTGGCTGCTGGTGTCTCAGGCCATTAACCTGCATTCACACCCTCAGGCCTGTCAGAACCCCAGCCTCACCTGCAGGCCAGGAGCCGCCCTGTGTTCAGGCAGAGCTGCAGCTCAGGCTGCAAGTTTCCAAGAAGGTGGCAGAGAGACACAGACAGGAGGCATGGCCATCGTGGTGGCAGACCCCAAGACCCACTGTTTGCATGCCTGGGGGCACTGGGGACAGCAGTGGTGATCCCAGGTGGGTGAACACTTCCATCGAGCAAGAACTCCACATGGGTTGGGTAGGGTGGGTCCCTTCTTGGCTGCAAATTCTGACTCAGTCAGCTTTGCCTGTGGTTTGAAAAGGCCACAAGCAGACCCGCCTACCCAAAGTACAGAAATTGAGGTGCAGAGAGCAGCCATGGGGAACAGCTGCAGGGAGACAACAGCCCCACAGCTCCACCTCTGAAATGACTCCTGAAGCCTGAGGGACATTGGATTGCTGAAGTTTTGCATAACACAGGAGCTCTGGTAGCATAATGCCTAAGGCACTTTGCTAACCAGAGGCTGGCCTTTCAAACCCACCAGCCACTCCTTGCAAGGAAGGTTGAGCACTCTACTTCCACAGTGATACTGTCTCGGAAACCCAAGGAGCAGTCGCTATGAGTCGTCCGACTCCACGGCACAAAACAACAACATCAGTCTTTGGGAACTGGGGAGCTCTGGTGGCATAGTGCCTAAGGCATTTGACTGCTAACCAGAAGGCTGGCAGTTCAAACCCACCAGTCACTCCTGGGAAGGAAGGTTGGGCAATCTACTTCTGTAGTGATACTGCCTCCGAAACCCAAGGAGGGGTCGCTATGAGTCGAATGGACTCCTTGGCAGTGACTTTGGCTCTTTTGGAACTATGTTGGTAAGTGAGGAGTAGGTGTATTTTATGCAAAAAACACACACCTTCTATGTTTGTTTGCCAACTGCCCCCTCCTGTCAAAAAGTATTTTTGTAAATGCACTATACTTCCCCACCCCCAAGCAACATGCCAAAAAAAAAAAAAAAAAAAGGCAAAGCAGCAGTTACAAATATACCACATGTGGGGAAAGAGTTCTGGCAAACATACATAGAAAGGGCATGTTATTCGAGAAAAAACATGGTAAGTTATATGAGCTGCCTTTCAAATATTATTGAAATTAATTAATGACTGGGCTAAAATTCCAGTTCCTCCATTTTTTATTTGGATGATCTTAGATTAACTAAACTCTCTGAGGTTTATATTTCTCAGCTAGAAAATATGGTAGTAACAATAATTATATAAACAGAAAATTCTTTCTATTGTAATCACTATAAGATTCTAAAGGTCACTTGGAAGAATAAACTCAAAATACTAAGAGAAATGTTAAAGAACACTAAGAAACTAGTCTTGGGATACAGTAAATACAACAATTAAAATAATATGTTTCTGATACAGATAAAGTAATCAGTGGAACACAATAGAAGTTTACAATGAACCCAAGTATGCATAAGAGATTGAGATTAATAAAATGACTTCTCAAATTCATCAAAAAATTAATTATTTAATAGATCATATTGGGACCACTAAACAAGTACAATTAAAAATGTATGTTTTATTTATACATGGAAAATACACAAGTTGTCAAGAGTAAGAGACAAGTGACCCTACCTATCTTGAAATTGACCTTTATTAACCGGAAATATGAACTGTAATGCTCAGTGTCCTCAAATGCAAGATGGGGAAATATTATTATGCTTCGCATGAAAGTAAATGAGAAAAGTTCATAGAAATCAATTAATAGGGTGCTCAGCTAACAGTAAGTACTCCATATACTTTAATTGTTTATTGCTATTGAAATTATTATTGCTATTAATTATATATTGCTTGTGAGAGTATGGTGGCATAGTGCCTAAGGCATTTGATTGCTAACCAGAAGGCTGGTGGTTCAAACTCACCAGCCACTCCTCCAAAGGAAGGTTGGGCGATCTACTTCCGTAGAGATACTGCCTCGGAAACCCAAGGAGGGGCCACTGAGTCAAATCAACTCTGTGGCAGTGAGTTTGGGTTTATTTTTGTTTTGTTTTGTTTTGTTTTGTTTTGTTTTTTGGTGAGAGTATGACTTTTTATAACCTTGCATGAGAACAATTTGAAATATGAATTAAGGATGTTAAAAATGCGGTTCTTTTGACTGAATAAATTATGCTTCCAGAAATTTATAGTCAAGAATAATTAGTATTCTTTACAAAGACTTATGAAGAATGTTCATTCTAGTGTTTTTTTATGATAGTGAAAA